CCCCCCCCCCCCCCCCCCCGTCCCATGTTAAAAGGGCAAATGAGTTTTCGTAGAGATTAAGGAAAATTTTAGAAGTGGTCGAAGAGATAGAAAAAGTGATTGAAAAGTAGGGGATGTTATATCAATTATAGGAGTGTGCCTTTTGGGATTGGACAATAAAAAAGGTGATTTGTGTATCTTGATAACTTTCAATTTACTCAATCTGTTTTTATAGTTTTTTGATAAAATAATATATTCTCGTCATATTTTATTTTGTAGAGTTTTTAATGTATTTTTTAAGTATGTAAGTTGTATTTTTTATTTTTATATTGACTTTTAGATAAAATTATTTTTTAAAAAAATAAAATCTTACACATTGTTGAAAGAGTATATAAATGAATTTGGGAGGGAGGGACTAATAATAATCTCTTGACCAACTATTAGTATTGTGTTACAAGGAATTGGCTCATGTTATCTACTTGAAGTTGAAGTGCTTCAGAAATTGGTTGGACACACTCCTATGAGGTCTCCTTTGACCTAATATATCTAACGCATATTTGGTGGCGAACTATTGTATGGATCTTAATGTATAAATTAGTTATCTTTAGTCTTTTGTTAGAAGATAGAGATCTAATTATGAGTTCATAAAAAATAGGCTAAACTCCACCATTAGTCCTTCAACTTTATCAATTGTGCACGATTGGTCCTTCAAGTTTTAAAAGTTCATAAATAGTCCTTCAACTTTATGAGTTATGCACGATTGGTCCTTCAAGTTTTAAAAGTGCATAAATAGTCCTTCAAGTACATGTCAACCCTCCAAATGAGGTCCTTTTGACAGTAAATGTTAAAAGCTAAATGGAATAGTAGCTCCATATAATACGGAGTAGTCGTACCTAATGGAATTTACTCGTATTATATGAAACTAGTATTTCGTTTAACTTTTAATATTTATGGTCAAAAGGACTTCATATGGACGGCTGACGTGTACATGAAGGACTACTTATGGACTTTTAAAACTTGAAGGACCAATGGTGCAGAACTCATAAAGTTGAAGGACTATTTATTAACTTTTGAAACTTGAAGGACCAATCGTGCACAACTGATAAAGTTGAAGGACTAATGGTGGATTTTAGCCTAAAAAATATATGAGAAGATTCATATACTCCGCATAATATGTGTACCTTAAAATCATAATAGAATAGAAGAAATCACGACTAAAACGTAGAAAAAGTACTAAAATAAGAGGTCCATATTTTTATTCTCAAAATATGAGTTCGCACTGTGGTAATGTGGCATTGTACATGTGCACGTTACTAAACTTTTAGGTAATGTAAATGATCATGTTTGGTAATGTAATGAATTTTAACTCCTATTTCAAAAATAAAAACATAAGAAATCTTATTTTGAAATATTTTTAATGTTTTACTTCTATTTTTGTCTTTTTCCATAGAAGAGCTCATATTCACAATGTCTAAGAACCAAATTTTATACTCCGTACTAAGAAAGTACTATGTATTTACTTACCGAGATTAAATTGTGCGTCTTGGAGCATGTTTGTTTTCATAGATTTTGGAAAGAAAGAAAAAAATTGAAAGGAAAAGAGAGAACTGCCCTTTTCCCCGAGAAAAAAATAAGGATGGAAGAAAAAACTTTCCTCCCTTCAATATCTTTCTTTGAGTTGCCTAAAAGAAAAAAAATTCTAAAATTTTTACAACCTATTTTTCTGAAATATTAGTATAGAAATAAAAAATGAAATCTACATATTTAGAAACTACTCCATTCTTCCAAAATTAAATTGCATGTTTTCTATTCACAAAGTCAAACACCATTCACTTTCGTTCTTTATTTTCGTTAGTCATTTCATAAAGTAATATAGTCATGTCTTTACTAGTTTTATGGATTTTTTGATATAGTTTTAAAATATTTAATTTTTTATTTTTTAAAATTCTACATCATTTTTCATATAAAATGATTTGAAAATAACTTCAGTCACACATTGTAAATCGAAACAAGCGATTTAAATTGGGACGGAGGGAGTACATCAAAACATCAAGAAAACAAGTGGTAACAAGAATATTTTATTTTAAAATATAGACCATGAAAAAATACAAATAAATAAAAGTTCTTGTGAAGTTGGAATACTGCTCTGCGGAGAAAGGATATTGGACGAAGAGAGTAATACAATTCCCGAAATACCCTTATGAGGCTGCTAGGTGTGGTTTTGGCGGTACTGAGTGCCAACTCATTGCCCGCCTAGAGAGAGAAAAGAGAGAAGAAGAGAGCGGTGTGGGTTGGGCAGTGAGAAGGGGATGGAAATGCCGAGCTCACCGACTCCCAATCGGCAAGGGCGGTGTTACCGATCGGCAACGATGCCACATGGGCCTTGCCGACTCCCACACCCTACAATATTACAATTTTCAATGCATTTTATTATACTGGTAAATTGGTAATTTAATTACATATATCTTTCATTTGCTTTTTTTGACAATATACTCCCCACTTTCAAATTGAGACAAGTTCCGCGTGCATACACGCTCCTAGTCCCTACTCGAGCAAGATCTGTTGTTGTGTATGCTCTGTATTAGGGGTGTAAACGAACCGAATCGAAGCGAATACCTATATATTTGAATTTGTATTTGTTTAATTTTTTTGAATACGAATCCGAATATGAGACGAATTCAAAATAAGATTTGAATAAGTATTTGATTAATATTCGAATAGTTATCGAATCATAAACGAATATTTGAATAAGCATACTATGTAATTTATATGATGGACCAACATCAATTTATAATTTAACTTACGATACTCGTTATACTATACTATTCCATATATAAAAATATTAATACATTTGCATTTTACACAAATTATATTTTATAAAATATAACTATTAAAAATCATATGCTTTAGATTTTTGTGTTACGTTAATTTATTGAATTCTTAGTATTTTAAATAAACTTTATACTATATTACTTTGCTTGACTTTTGATATTGAAAAACATGGTCTGTGTATATATACATATATTCGAATATCCGAATATCATCCGAATCGAATATATCCCTATTTGTATTTGTATTTGATTAATATTCGAATCAAAAATAATATTTGAATTTGAATTTGTATTTGAATAACGCGAATTCGAATCATCATATTCGAATACAAATCGCGAATCGAATTTAAAATATTTGATTTGTTTACATCCCTACTCTGTATAACCGTATCTATTGTACTTTATTTTCACACACCCTATTTTCCTCTACTTTCCAAAAACAAGGAAAGAAAACATTATTCTTTCCCCATTTAGGTCCGTTCCAAAGATTCTTGGACCTGATATGAAATAAAAAAATAGGTCCTTACAAATGTTTTAATAGAAATCACTTTGAAAAAAAGTACTAAAACATAGAAAAAAAGTATTAATGTGTACATTACTATGCTTTTTGGTAATGTACATAACCATGTTTAGTAATGTAAATGCATTTTAACTCCTATTTTTGGAATAAAATCATGAAAGTTTTATTTTGGTATATTTTCGATGTTTTACTTCTACTTTAGTTTTTTTCCCATGTTTTAAAGACATTTATGTACTCCCTCCGTCCCATTTTAAGTTGTGTATTATTGTTTATGATGTTTGATTGAAGTTATTTTCAAATAAATTTATATGAATACTGGGGTAGAATTAAAAAAATAAAATTTATATGATTAAAAACTACCTTAAAAATTTTATAAAATAAGATGTGATGTGATTATATTTTTTTATCAAATGAGTAACAAAAATGAATCTCATTATTTTTTTGATACGCTAAATATGAAGAAAGAGAAGAATTTTCTTATTTTGGGCTTAAAGTTTTTTGCGGGCGTAATATTAAGAGTATGTTTTAAAACTTTTACGGCCCCTTATGAGGCCTGGGGTAACCGCCCAACCGGACTTCTCTCTGGATCGGGCCTGTAATTCCATTGAAAATCTTTTATACTTCGTACCTCTCTAAATAAAAGTCCAAACACCATCAGAATCTATTCAACTTCCACTTCTTTCTTTTTATACTCCCTCCGTCCCAAAAAGTCTTTCCTGTTTCATTTTTTGCGCATCCCATAAAACACTTCTAACGACATCTAAAATGCCTAAAATTTATAAAATTTCTTCTTTATTATGGGTAGAAGTTATTTTGAAAGTTTTTTTGGCAATCAAGACGGAATAGAAGTGTTTTATGGGATGCGCAAAAAATGAAACAGGAAAGACTTCTTGGGACGGAGGGAGTATTTCTTTCTACTCTACTTCTTTCAAGTTTCAACTCCACTGCTATCATCATGCAAAAGACTCTTATCTAAGCAAACCTTTTCACATTCTGGATAGCAAACATAAACATAGATCAATGCCTCCAAGAATTGTGTCCGTTTAGGGGTGAGCATTTTACGATATGGTGTAGTATTTAGCGTGTATCGACACCGTACCTAATATATCAATACGATATAAGATTTTACTTCATACCAATGTGGATCCCAAAATTTCGGTTCGGTATAGTTCGGGGGCAAATTCTTCTATGGTCCTTGGGTCCATACTTATTTTATGGAACTTCATACATAAAATAATTTTTTGTAATGGGCCTTGTATAAATTAGAAAATCCAACTGTTAGCCTATGAAAAATATGTAAGGTGCATATTTTACACGTGGACCTTAAGATCATAATAGAACCACTCTAGTTCGGGATGATTCCGTATCAATTGCAGTAAGAATCGAGATGAATACATACACACCTAATTTAAACTTTAAAATGTCACAAAACTATTTATTTTTGAAAGCAAAAGTAATTTTAAATAAAGAAACATAAAAAACTAAAGACGATAAACTAAATACAAGAAATACTTATGAAACTTGGTTTATATTTCATAAACTAAAGTGAACAAATGATAACAAAATGATATTTCAAATGTGTGTTAATAATTTAAAATTCATCTACAAAAAATTGAAACTCAAATAAAAGTACAATGTACACATAATAAAATTTGAACCAAAGTTTAAAAATAAACTTATTATTTTATGAAAAAACAAAAAAGTATATATATATATATATATATATATATATATATATATATATGGTTTGAGATTTTCGGTATGGAAACTTACCTCGTATCGTTCCCAAATACCGAACCAAACATTTGGCTCGACATGCTTTAGTATTTTAGCGGTACTTTTTGATTCGGTATTTTCCAGTTCAGTTTTCTCGATTTTTAGGAATTTTCGGTATCGATTCGATACTTGTTCACCTTTTGTTTCTCTCATATGCAAAAGGGTACGACCCACCCACGATTCTCTAAAATTGAACCAACACTTTGCTTCCGTGATAAGTGATTCTCATTGGGATCCTCGGGGATTAAGGGCCCACCTCGATCACCCTCAGGCTGGGTGCAGGTTTATCCACATGGTAAAATTTGTTGTTCTCACACTTTTCATTTAAAAAGTGTCCCTAAGCTCATTGTGTCAAATATGGTCAAAATGTTTGTGAGAAAACAGAAAACAGAGGATGGAGCATCACGAACTACTATATGATGTAAACATATATGTAAAGTTAGACAATGAAAGTTTTTTACATATCGAAAGAAATAATAAGATATAACAATAAATTCACTAAAACCCCAAAAGAGTGAGGTTTGGAGTGGGTGTATCGCAGACCTTACTCCTATTTCGAAATAGAAGAGTTTATTTCCAAGAGAACTTCATCCAAAATAAAAGTAATGTTTAGAAAACATGTGAAGGAAAGAGCAGGGAAAAGGAGAGTTACAAAAAAACAAAGCACACATGTAGATTATGCTATGTGTTATCATGAGCTTGATAGGGGGCTTGACTACTGCCATGTAGGTGTCATGTGGCATGTCCCTCCCATCACCCCCCATCGCTTGAGTGTGAGTTCCTATACCGTACATCCTGCATGCCATGCTCCTATCTGGCTCCTTTGAATAGTACAATCTTCCTTCATGCTTACCCACAAAATCGTTGTCCTCAAACTTAGGTCCCGTAACACACACAAGTTGTTGGTGAATCGTGCCTCATAATTTAATTCCCTTGTTAACTGTGAGACAAATTAAATGACAGCTCAATGTTGGAACAAACAACACATTTTGCAAAGTCATAGTTTTTGTCAAATTATTATTTCTAGGTTGAACAGACAACTCTTTTTCTATCAAGCAATCAAATTTCACAAGGTGACACACCCACCACATCATATAATAATGAAAGATCACTTGTCATGTGATTCGACAGACCAATTTCAATAATCCAATGTGGTGGTAAAGAAATACCTGAGAGTTTTAAATTAGAATATGATGGTACCAACGAAAGAGCATGACGAACAACATTCAACTATTCCCTAGTCAGATCACCAAAGCTGGGCAGCGGAGAGGGCCCTCTCTCCTCCGTGCTACCTTGCACGGCATGCACACCACCTTGGCCTCCAGTGGTTCCTTGTCTCGCCCCACGCCTTGGACTGTGGCCCTTGCGTGGTTCGCTCCTCTTCCTTTGCCATTCTAATCCCAAAAAATCATCCTTCAGGATTTCCATGCAGTTTGTAGCAAACATCAATCTAATGACCTATTTTGCCACAATGTAAGCAAACAGGTTCCCTTGCATCAGATTTATTCTCTGGTGCAAAAGCAGCAGCAGCAGCAGCAACATCACCTCCATCAACCTTCTTCATTGAACTCTGGGTTGTCTCATCTCGTATCAAAATATTATAGATTCATTTGACAGTAGGTACATGTACGTGAGAAGTTGCGACAATAGATTCGATCGCAGGATCCCATACAACGAATCATTCAACCCCATCAAAAATTTGTGAACACGCTCCGTTTCACAATTTTTTCAAGCATAGCTAGAAAATGACATGTGCAATTCTTGCACACACAGACTGGAGGATGCTCAAGATCCACTAGATCATCCCACAACTTCTTCATCTTGCCATAATATTTCAATATGGAAAGATTCTTCTGCTTGCAATCTGACAACTCCCGTTTCAGTTGTTGAACCCCATGTCTATTAACAGGAGAGAAACAAGCCTCCACATCATTCCACAGGCCAGAGGTCTTCTCCACGAACGACGCGCTTGATCTCAAGGTTGGATCAATAGTGTTCCTGATTCATGAGACCAAGAGTGAATGATTTGTCCACTTATCATCCAGATCGCCAGAATCAAGATCTGGAATTTCAATTAAACCGTCAACAAAACCAAACTTCTTGCATGCTCAAAGAGAAAGGCGCAACGATTTAGACCATTCATCATAATTATCTCCCTTCAAGATAACATGGATTAAAATCATACCAGGGTTATCACTCGGGGAGAGATCTTCTTTGCCGAAACTATCTTCTTTGGCTGCTCCTCAGACTAGGCGGCGCGACGGTGGATCGTAGGACAACAACGGCGGCGAAAGAAAAATGGACGACAGCGGCGAACGACTCAGTGTCGATCGGCCAACAATGGGGAATTTAGATTTTAGGCTCTGATACCATAAAAGAATAATATTTTAGGAGAAAATATTCTCTTGTATTTCCGAACATCACAATATGAATAAGAGGTGCGTATTTATAGGATGCCACAAGCTAGAAACTATATAAAGAAACAAACCACAAAGGAAAGAAATACGAAAGGAAACAATAATATATAAGGAAACTACCATGTACATACTAATAATATATACAGAAATATTATTTTCTTTAACATTACCTAAGCAAAGCTTTCACATTCTGAACGACCCGCTCATGATTGTTTAAAATCAATATAACAATGGTTTGACTGGTTTCCTCAGTTTACGAACTTTGGTTTCACATTATTTGGTATCGTAAAGCAATTAATTATTTTCATAAGCATTTCATCTTTTAAGTCTTTCTAATGGAAAAATGTTTTTCACATCAATTTCATTCATTGTTCTCCCTTCGTCTTAAAAACTGTTCTCATATGACTCTTCGAAGTCGAAATTAAATAAATTTAAGATTAAATTTTATATATGGTCCCTAATACAGTGGTTTTCTATATTTAGTCTCCAATTATAAGATATCACATAAATGATCCTTAATTTTTGAAAACTATTCTATCAATAGTCATTTAGACAAAGTATGACAATTTTTTTCTACAAATAGTCCATGAAAGACCAGCTATTGAATAATTTTAAGAAATTGAGAACCATTTATGTGATATAGTGAGAGCACTGGAAATACGTTTGAAGCCCGGGGCTTCAAACCAGAGTTTCAAAATTTCTCTCTCTGCCACGTCAGCTTTAACTTACCTCACAGATTTACCGGAAATGGGTTTGAAGCCCCGGGGCTTCAAACTGGGGCTTCAAACCTTCATTTTTTACATTTTTAAATATACATCTTCTAAAACTAAATTAATAAAATGTAATTAATTTATTATTTAATTATATTGAAATATGAATAATAAAAAATACATTCATTTAATTTAAAGAAATTGAAACGACGATCATTTAAAATTTAAAAAATTACATTCATTAAAATAAAAAAAAACGACAATAATAAAAAAGATACATTAATAAAAAAACTAAGGTAAATTATATTTCGCCTTGATCTCTCTTTGTCTTTTCTCGTAGATCATCCGTTTGAAACCCGACAATGTAGAAAGGTCGGTTTCCATGATTTTGATCTCGTCCTCCTGCTCCTTTCGCTTCATCTCCTTCTCCTTTAGCTTCATCCTCTCTTCTTCTCGAAGATTGAACACCCGAAGTTGTTCAATCATTGCCCAACTGATTTCGTTGCGAGAAGAAACAGAAACAGAGCCGGACTCTCCCGAACCCGAGGCAATGGATTTTGTCTTCTTTCTTCCGATCGTCCGTGGAATGTGGTCCTCGTCATCGGAATCCGCAATGTTGAAGGGAGGCATTTGATCGGACGAACCGATAGTCTCGTCGACCTCAACCTCGGCATCGACGGAGGATCTTTTCTTTGACGATCCACCGTCAGGATTGTTGAGTTGTTGCCACTTCGGGGAATGGCTCAAAATCCTCCAAAGATCGATGGGCACCTTGCCTTGGTGCCCGTCATCTTGATACCGGGTCGTGGCAAGCCGGAGAACATCGACATCGTTCGTCCTGCTCCTCCGGGACCGAGTGCATTCCTCGTAAACTCCGATAAACTTTCGGACTTTACGGTTGATGTGGCTCCATTTGGAAGTGAGTTGGTCCGAGGTACGGTAGGAGCCGTCCTTGTTCATCGTCGTGAAGAACTTCTCGATACGATCCCACATCGCATCCTTCGTTTGCTTCGAACCTTTAAAAAAGTATAACACGAAATTATAAATAAAAACATAAATATATTAGAAAACATATAATTTTTACCAATGATAGGATGCTCGGAGACGTCAACCCAAGCCGACGCCAATAAGCACTCCTCCTCCAGCGTCCACTTTTGGATTGACTGTGCCGCCTCGGTCATCGTGCCTTATGCTTTGTGGGTTTTCCGGCGTGTACTTTTTTTGGAGCTGGTTAGGGCTGGGTTGGAAAAACCGAAAACCGAAAACTGAACCGAAATCGATCGAAACGAGCTAGTAAAAAAACCAAACCGGAAAAACCGAAACCGAATGTAAAAAAACCGAACCGAACCGTTAGTATTTGGTTCCGTTTTGGTTTTCACTTTGAAAAACTGAACCGAACCGAATAAACCAAACTTTTTTAGATACTTCACTTTATTTATATGAATATATGTGATATGTAGAAAAATCATAGAAATATAAATACAAATAAATTAATAGTCGATTTAAATTATTTTTTTATCTATTAATTAAATATTCTAGCCATATTATTATAAACTTTAAAAAACTTAAGAATATATATGAACACCAATAGTAATCCTAATATAGAATCATATTAAGATTAAAAATTGATACGCGTAATTTACATATTTACATAAAAATACTTTGATGTTATAATGAAATTGAAAGTATTATACAAAAAATATAAATTCTTCATAATTGATTTTACATACGATGTCTTTGGAAGTATTTAGAATCTTCTAAATGTTTGAAGCACTCCACACATCTTTTTTATGTAAAATTAAACTAAAAGGAGCAATAACCTTCTGTTTGGTTTTTTGTTTTTGTGTAAAAATCAAACAAAAAAAACCAAAGCTAACACTACATATTTTTATTGTTTCATTGAGTTAGTGTTTTATAATTTTTTAATGCTTATAAATTTCTACTTTTATAAACCGAAAAAACCGAAAAAAACCGAAATAAAAAGAAAAAAAACCGAACCGAATAACCAATGGTTTTCATATTTTTTATGCAAAACCGAACCGAACCGAACCGCCAATTTACCTTCCGTTTTGTCTTCGGTTTTGGGTAAAACCGAACCGCCAAAACCGAACCCACCCCTAAGCTGGATGACTCCGGTTGAGTCTCCGGAACCGAATCTCGCTCGACGTACCCCGATTGTTGCGTCTCGAAGATCGGTGGATGATCCCCGAATTCTTGGAAATACCACATCGCGGCATCGTGAGGCGCGAGATTGTCGGGAAAGAAGCCGGACCCGGAAGGATTCATGTTCAAAAGAGAGGGGGAGTGTTTGAAATTGAAGAATGTGTGAAGAAGATTGAAGAAGAGTGAAGGTGTGAGAATGAGAGGGGGGGAGTTTGAAATTTATAAAAAAATAAATTAATTTTTCTTTTTTTGTTTACAATGACTAAATTAGCTGTTAAGGGGGAGGGGGATTGCGTCAAATGAGTGACGCCGAGCGCATCACGCCCGTATCACGCCGATGGGGGGCGGTGCTTAACGCCCCCCGGCGTTAAAACCGCTCATCACGCCAATGGGCGTGAGCGGTATTACCAGTGCTCTGATATTACAATTGGAGACTAAGTATAGAAAACTACTTATAATTAAGGACTATTTATGAAATTTACTCTAAATTTAACCATAAAATTTGAAAAGAATATATTGATTACTCCACTATTTACTGGTGTAAATTTAATGCCAAAAAGCTTGTGACTCAGTGGTATAACTGTGACTCCTACATGAGCGGTCACATGTTCGAATTCCAACGGAAGGACGAAGTGATTATAGCTCGTCTTTAGCACAGTTGCCAACATGCAACGAATGGTCACAAGATTGGCATATGCCCTTAAGTTTTGTAGCATACCCTTTTACCATAAAGCACACTTCGTTTTCATCCACAATATTGAATTGAAAGCCAACTTATGGTGACCCAAGCTCACCTAAGAACCCAAAGACCCGTGTGTAACATAAGTCGGGCTTCTTGGCGAGCAAGACCTCAAGTTGAGTAATAAATTCTATCGAGCGAGGTCAGGCTTAACTCTTGCTTGCTAGAATTTATGTGGCCAAGTCATACACATTTTATTTTTGGGATCAAAAGTCAGAGACATTTAGAGCTGTTAGAAAACAACACTCCTGTCCAACTACAATTTATGATTCAATGTTTACCCATTCCAAGCAAATTGAAGGGTTAAGTCATGTACCAAGAGTTAGCATCATCAATTATGTTACAAACACAAAAATAACACACAACTATTGCAATAAAACAATGCCATTTATGTGTTGTACCAAGTACAAAGTTACAAACACTATGGAACGGATAATAGACAATGAAGCACAAAGAAACACCAAAACCCAAAATCAAAGAGTTTTAGTGAATCATAGATATCAAAAGAACATCTTCAATTAGTGCTATAAGATAAAACAAGATCCAACACCCTCTACTTGCACTAAACTCTACATATGTCAAGTTGTGAACAGAAAAAGAACTGTCCAAGAAAAGTACCTAATACTCTGGGATTTTTCTTCTGCAGCCTCTTGATAGGCAATTCTGCTTAGCCATCAAATCCCTCTGGTGGCCACCACCTGGGCTTGGGGAAATCCCAACCCCGACTCTGGGCAGTTTCCAATAGTCCAGCTCCTTCAACCCCATCATCACCATCTCCCGTCCCCAACAGCACTGCCAAAACCTTCACAATGTCCTTGAATGATGATGACCCGTTCTTCGAATGTCTCCTCCCGGTTTCCTCCTCCCCTCCCACACTCTTTTCCCCACCCTTTAACGACAATGGTAGTTCGCGCCTCCCCACAGCTCTTCTTTCCTCTTCTCCCTTCGCAACATCATCATCTTTCCCCTTTTCATCGATAGGCGCGTGCTTTTCAATGTCAGCAGCACTCTTTTTCCCTTCGAAGATACTGCTTCCATTTTCACAAACTGAAATGTCCCCAGCATTCACGTAAGAATCAACCGTATCTGCCATTATTTTCTCTTCACTCTCTAAACCCATCATATCAGCATTTACACTATCATCGTCTTGGACTTTGATGGCATTTGGCTCTGTTTCTCCCACATACATGGTTGGACTTTCAACCCCCAAATCCTCCCCCAAAACCCTAATTCTCTTAGATGGATATTCATTGTTGTCTCCATTCAAGAACTCAGACTCCTCGAAATTAATCCCACGGCCCACATGTATAGGGTCCTTAATACCACTATCAGAACCCTCTCCTACGCAGTTAACCTCAGGGGGCTCAGAAAACCCTAGATTGTCACATTCCGTCCCCAAATCAACAATTCCGTGGTGTTCCTTACCGTCTTCGTCGGCCGCAGAGGCACGCTTATCCCAGGAAGAGTCCGACTGGGAACAGAGAGTGGCGGCGGCGGACGCCGGTCTCAGCTCTTCAGATCCGGAGAGATAGGGTTGGGAGCTGGAATTGCCATGCTCGGGAGGAGTTTGGTACACTTCCTTGTCCAAAGAGTCACTTTGGCCAACTGAGTCGGTGTCTGGAAGCGAGACCATGGCGATTGCGGTGGGTTCCGGCGAAGCCGGCGCCGGAGATGATGAAAGCGAGTCGGAGTGCTCCTCGGATTCTCGGGCGAAAGGGCACTTCCGTAGCTTTTCCTCCTGGGATACAGTCGGCTTACAATGGCTGATGAGGCACGAGAACGGATCTTCCATTTTTCGTGTGTAGAGGAAGAAAGTGGAAGAACCCATCACGAATGGTTTCCCATTTATTCTGTCTGAACATCCTTCCAGCTTTTTTATTCGAATTGGGAGATACCATTGAATTGAAAATTTGAAGCTCATGTGATTTCATTTGATTTAATGCAATTTTTTTGCGTGGACCTAATGTTAATATTTATTTTGAAGACCTCATACATTTGTAACATCAAAAAAATGGTTTGCAAAAATATTCATATGAAAGTTTATGAAAAATGTGAGAAGATTCACATTTTAAGCATTACTCTTTTTTAAGATTGTGTTCTTTATGACTGAAAAAAGTTAGACATTTGAAAAAACTTGAAAAACATGAAAAAACTAAAAGAAATGAAAAAAAAACTAGAAAAATGTATAATGAATTGGAAAAAATTAGATGAAATTAGAAAAACTAGAAAAACTTAAAAAATCTAAAAAAATTTTAAAAAATTTACTTAAGTTTATTTTTTTATATTATTCTCATTCTAATTGTTGTTGTTATTTTTCTTTAACATAAAAAAATGTAGTCACTTTCATACACAAAAAAGAAATCTACTTTATGTAGTATTTATTATAAAATATTATATATGTAATTACACTTTATATATTACAAGATTTTATTTTAAATATCAGACATGTCACATACTGTGATCAAGTCTATTTTTCTTCCAAGATTGACATTCTATTTGCATTGTAACTCTTATTTTGGGTATTCATTTTTTATGTTTTATTCCTACTTTAGCCTTTTTTCTAAAGTATTTTGACTTTCAAAAACTTATATAAAAATTTGAAAAATGTTTTTATCATATCAATTTAGAAGAGTATGAATCATAAAAATATCAACATGAAAAAAATAAAAAAATTAAATAGTTTGTAAACTATAGAGAACATAATAGTTGTAACAATAATAATAATAATGAAGATAGTACTAATGATAAATAATACTAATAATCAAATTAAAAATACATCGTTTTTAGAGTAATTGTTTGGGAGTAGAAAGAGCTTGAAGAAAATGAGAATAGTTGGAAAAAACTAGAAATTTTTGGAAGAAACGGGAAGGAACAGGAAGAAACAGGAATAAACTGGAAGTTAAGAATTTAAAGTCTATAGAAAAGACTTTTAGTCTAGTCTAATTTAGTTTAACTTGATCTGATTTAGTTGTAGTAATATTTAAAGTTTTTTATTCGATCTGGTCTTGTTTGATTTGATTCCAATACGAATAAGTAATAACAGAGTAATGTAAAATAATAAGAAAAAGTTAAAGAGAATAAACTTTTAAAAGTAATTACAGAGTAATATTTAGAGCTGTTATGTCAAACTTATGAGAGACACCCCACATAGAAATAAAAAAAGTATGAAAATACTAAAATAAGAGTTATAAATCTTTTAACATCAACATAGGAGTTCACATTTTCATCGTTACACTACCACACTCACCACATTGTCAAATTGTAACTGTCACACTATTACCGTCACACTGTCATTCGTCGTCGCCGCCAACCAGAGTACCACCGCACATCACTGATGGGTGACTGATCACTGATCACACTGATATGAATATTTCTGATCTGATTTAAGTTATTATTATTATTATTATTATTCTTGTTGTTGTTGTTGTAATTAATTTTTTATTTTAATTTTAATTTATTATTATTATTATTATTATATTTTGTATTGTAATTATCATTATTACTATTGTTATAATATTTTTTTACTTTTCAAAAATTTTCATTTGATCTAAATGGATATGATTCCACTAATAATACTAAGTAATGGTTATGGTAGAAAAAATAATTTGAAGAGAACGAGACGTAACTTAGAGCCTGTTTGGGAATAACGTTAGAGATTAGCGTTAGCGTTTTGGATAAAATTAAAACGGTGCAGATTACTTTGAAAACGCTAACGCTAAACGCTGCCCGTAGATAGCCTTTTCAAAAAGCTAACGCTAATCGCTAACGTTGTTCCCAAACATGCCTTTAAGCTTTAGCATTTATAAAAGGGAAAATTATCTAAAATAATGTCATCTTTTCACGCTCTTTCAAAAATAATCTCACATTTCATTATCGTCGAAAACAATCTCAGTTTTCCGCATAAGTGTGAGTTTTGTGTTGTCTTTAAAATGCTAACGACCACTTAACAAGATTTTTGGAAAATGCCTATTTTTTCGAAAATAAATGAAAGGTGAGATTATTTAAGGTAAATTCATTTTTTTCCATTTTTAAATTTGTAACATTAAATTTAAAAGTATTTTTTAAAAATATTTTTATAAATAATACTCCACAATGTTTAAGTTTTTTTAGAGTGAAACTAAATAATTTTTTTAATAATCGATAATTTGGTAATAATTAAAAAATAAATTATTCTATTCAATGGAGCTAATTTATTTACTTCATAACTCACTAATTTTTTTTAAGTTGTAATTATTTTTCTTGAGCGATGCTTCAATTTCCTTTTGACACTATACTATTATTATTTTTTAAAAAAATGGTACTACTAAACTTGTGAATATTTTTCAAAAATTATATAGAAATGTTATTTTTGTAAAACAACATTACAACAGTTGTGAAAATAACATAATAAATTTTTTCTTTGAAATGGAACTTTCATTTTTATAACTAACTACATTTTTTGTTGTATTGCAATTTTTTCATGAACAAAACTCCAAAATTTTTATTGATAATCTTCCATTACCCGTATTATTTTTTCTAAAATGGAACTAACCAACTTGTATTTTTTTCGATAATTCAATACAATTTTTTCTCAAAATAATAATTCAAAAGTTGTGAAAATGATACAATATTTTTTTCTCCAAAACGGTACTAATTAATTTTATAACTCACAAATTTTTTTTGTATTACAATTTCTTTCTCGAGCGATACTCTGAATTATTTTTTGATAATCCAATATTAAATTTTCCCCGAGAACATAAAATAGAATTTGCAAATCGTTATATTGTTTAAATAATGAGACAAATCTCTAACAAAAGTGTATTGTTATATTTCAAAAAACATAAATTTTAAAATTAAAATGAAAAAATGGAAAATGTAAATTTTCCTAAAATAATCACACCTTTCATTTATTTAAGAAAAATAAGTATTTTTCAAAAATTTTGTAAGTGACCGTTTGTTTTTTAACGACGGCCCAAAACTCACACACATGCGGAAATGTGAGATTATTTACGGTGACAGTAAAAAGTAGAATTTTTGAAAAATATTGAAAAGGTGAGTTTATTTAAGATAATATTTCCTTTATAAGATTAATTTGTATTTTAGTGATTGTCAAGCACTGCAATTAACAAGGACTTCCAATCACAATGTTGATTCAAAGTTCACCTTGTTGAAACATTGAAGCACTGACACTTTATACTAAAACTTGTTCAAAAGAGAAAATTAATTATAAAAGGATGAAGCTTATTATATACTTATTCTGTTCCAAAATTATATTTCCACTTTTCTTTTCGAGTAAATTCTCAAAATGATTCTCAATAACTATATGTTTTTCCTAAATTAGTCCCCAAAATTAACTAATTCCTTAGATGGTACTCGTTAATTGAAAATAATGTTACGTTCAGTCTTCTGGCTAACAGGCGTTAAAACGACATTAAATTTTATACTACTTTCCAAAAATGGTACTTTCTAACTCGTTTTCTCAAATTGGTCCATTTTCGAAATAAAAATATATTAATTATTGAAAAATATTTTAAATTCTTTAGGATGACAATATTATATTAAAACTATAAAATATAATTTTATAACTTTTAAAGTAAATTTTTTTGATTATTTATAATTGTTTAGAAGAATAGCATGTAAATAAAATGGTTAATAATCGTTAAATAAATCACCCTAAATAGGAGTAAAACATAAACGAAGTACCCAAAATAGGAGCTTTTTCTCTATGTTTTACTCCTAGGATGTTTTCTTTAACGCTTATTAAATATTTTGTTTACATGATATTCTTTTAGATAATTGTAAATAATCTAAAATGCTACTTTCAAATTTATAAAATTATGTTTATAGTTTTTAGTATTATATTGTCATCCTATAAAATTTAAAATATTTTTTATAATTAACGTATTTTATTTAAAAAATAGACCAATTTGAGAAAACACCAAGTTAGAAATTACCATTTTGAAAAAGTAGTATAAGGTTTAACGTCATTTTAACTTTGTTTTAATGACCGTTAGTCGGAGGGACTGAACTTAGCATTATTCTCAATTACCGAGTACCATCGTCTCGGGAATTTGTTAGTTTTGAAGACTAACTTGGGAAAACATGTAGTTATTGAGTACCATATTGAGAATTTACTCTTTCTTTTCAATACGTCCTACAACTATCTTCCCACAGCCTCTCTACTTTAGTAGGGGTAAGGTCTGCGTACACACACCCTCCCTAGACCCTGCTTTTGTAGGATTCTATTGGGTTGTTGTTGTTGCTACATCTATCTTCTCATTACATTGAATAAAAAATTTCAATATGTGAAATGACAATAATGCCTTCATCTATTTATCTAATCCTTACCCTAATTCCATTCTTCACCATTTCAATTTTCTCTCTTCCTCTAAAACAATCTTCACCATCTCTAAGTATTATTGCACTTTAAGCAACTCTTTGTCATGGTCTCTGAGCATAACATAGCTGTTGTTGGCGTCCCCATAAATTATCCGTTGAGCTCCTTCTATCTCTGTGGAGGGTCCTCCTTAGATTTAAGAGAAGAACCAAATCACCAAACGAAATGGAAAATATGATACTCGATAATGTAAGGTATGATTTTGTGTGTTCATTCACACTACTTCGCCTTAAACTCATTGCAAGGAATTATAAGATGCTAATTCACCATAATCTCACTAGGAAAAGTAAGTTAAGGCCTGTTGATTCACTAGAAGTAGGGGTGGACACGGTACCGGTACGGTACCGTGACCGGAAACAGTACCGCCGGTACCGGTACCGTTACCGTCGGCCGGGACGGTCCACCGGTTCCGGGAACCGGTACCGGTACCGCCCACTCCGGTACCAGTTCCGGTGCCCATTTTTCGGTCCCGGCACCGGCGGTACCGGTTCCGGTTCTGGTTCCGGTACCGTAATTAATTTTGTTTTTATTTTTATTTTTTATTTCATTCTTTCCTTTATTAATTTCATTTTTAGAGTTTTTTATTTCATCTTTTCTTTTAACAATTACACATTTACAATTCTACACTTTAAAAATTTAATAAAAAAGCAAAAAAAAAAATATGGGTGACCGAAACGGTACCGGAACCGGTACCAAGGGGTGGCGGTACCGGAACCGGCGGTTCCGGAACCGGAACCGTCCCGAAACCGTACCGTGTCCACCCCTAACTAGAAGGCGATTGCTACAAATACAGTCTCCAGACCAACGAGGAGACGTAGAAGGGCTTAGGGGCATTTTGGGTAAAGCCAGAGCATTATTTACACTCTTTTAAAAATGAGCCACGGTCAAACAAGAAAAGTTAGTTTTAGGATGCAGGGAGTATCATTCTTTGATCTCCATTCAAAGTCTCATAATCACCCTAATAAGTAATGGACTTCAGAACATCAAGAGAGCTTCCTATTGTGTGGTAGAAATATGACTTCACTTTGAGAATACTAATTGTAATAATTTTCAACAAAATCATCAGTATATAAATCTTAACATATGTCATCTACTTAAAAAATATCCATTTTGACATTTGTGAAAATGACAACAGATATTAGTTCCATCTAAATATTATTAATTGAACGAGAAAGGGGAGAAATCTTTGATTTTTTTTCAAAATACTGATGAACACCATGAGTAAATCATAAGATCTTGGTGACAAGATTGATGAAGAAAGAATGGTTTGTAAAATATCAAGGTGCTACTAATTTTGATGATAAAAACTACATCCAAAGGTGTTTATTCTATGCGCGTGTAAATCTCGTATCTTGGTTTTGCAAGAAATAAGATTCTAACACTCTATGAATTGTTAAGCTAGAGTTTATTTATGTTGGCTGTGGAGCCACTCAACTTTTATGAATAAAGAAAATGATGTGAGACTTTGGACCCCATCAAAAAACAAAGACACTTTTATGTGAGTGATGAGGTTTCAACCCAATGACTATGGTGGAGCAAAGAATCGAATGAGAATGACAACAATATAGATAAAATATAGAATCCTTGTAGGTTTGTATTAGAAAGATCTATCTTGAGTTACAATGGGGGATTCATCCATATTTATAGTCTAATTCTATCGTATACAAGGTATGCAATCCCACGATTTGGACTTGGCCCGCCAATTCACCTATTCCCCGGGCTTCGGCCTCTCTTCCTGTTTCAAAATCGATTTCTATTCCTGTCGTGTCTCGAAATCACATTTGGCCCCCATTGGGCTTGCTCCAAGGTCCCGATATCCATCACAAGCCCCCTAGTTTCTAATTGACGCATCACTGAGAAACTAATGATGAGCCACCTTTGAATCTTGTACTAGATCGAAAACGATCCCACTCCGTATTCAGATTCCGTGTCATAATGCCTATAATCTCATTTCTCTCTGGCCATCCATCCTCCCACTCCCATTCTCAATCCAACTTTAGAGATATCTCCTCCTGCAAATTTTAGTTATATTCCAAAATTTCTTAGAATGTCTTCCAAATCTACTAACCAAGAGCAATGACAACCCGAATCATCTATCATCAAGGACTCAGAGCTGGCTTTTATGCGTGATCTTCTTGGCGACCCGTTTAGGGTTCACCACTCAGACACCGTGGGCGGCGTGAACCTCGCTTTCAATCCAGAGCTGCATCGCTTTCTTGTGACGCACTACGATTCATTCCTTGCCGACTTCAAGTTGCCGCTACATCCTTTCATCCGGGATGTCTACACAATCTAGGAAGTTTCTCCTGAGTAATTTTTTAACACCCTAATTCGTCCAGGTCTGCAGCCCCTTTTGGACTAAAGTATTAACTTGGTAACGTAAAAATTTCAAGCATTTAAAAACTTTATTTCAACAATTGTGCTAAATATTTCATAATAACATCGGAGTAAAATTATTTAAAATAATACGGAAGTGATTTGCAAACTACAACAGTATGGTCAACCATGTGATAAAATCATTTACTTAAATAGTATATTTGTGCATGTCCACGCATCACCTCCATCTCAGTTGTAACGCCCCGAAATACACCTTAGAGGTTTATAACGAATTTTTAATAAATCGTAATTCTAATTTTCATTTAAATTAAATGAATATCAAAACAAAAACACTAAATAAGATATTTTAAGATATTCTTTTAATCGTCCAAGTTTATACTTAATTTGAGGGTCTTGACGAAACGAGTCCAACGACGTATTCCGCGTGCGAACCCGAACTACGCAGGTTAGGGGTTTGACCGTCCAAGACCGAAAAGATTATAAAGAAAATGAATAAAGTACAAATATGACGTAAACATAATATTATCCAATGAAATTTGGGTTTTTGGAAAGGTCTCGTGAAAAGGTGACCAACGATATATAGTTTTTCAAATTTGGAATTTCGTGTGAACCGTGATGAGCGAAATAGTCAATACAGTTCAGTAAATAAATATAAAGATTTTAATAATAAAATAATATTTATATTTGCAAATCCTAAAAGTCTACCCACTACCAAACAAAACCCTCCCAACCCCATTATCTTATACTAGTATATACGCATATACCCACCATAGCCGCCCATCTTTTCTTCAATCTTCTGTTGCCCTGCGTGACCCAGTTGCACGGCCGAGTTAGAGGGAGGCGAACAGGCGCCGGAAAGCTTCGCCGGTTTGATAAGTCGATTGGTTTGTGTTCCTCCGTCAATTGAACCAAGGTGAGTGATTTATCTCTCGTTAGAATTAATTTGTAGATTAGGATTCGTTGATATGTTATCTTTCAATCGACGTTGAATTTGTGATTATGGTTGTTGAATTGTGTAATTGATTGTTTGGAAATTGATTGTGGATTTGAGATTGGTGAAATTGATTTGGGGTTTAATTGGATATGTTAGCTTGTACTAGATTCTTCCGTGTTCTTGCTCTCCTATATTCATGTACTGCGTTGTTCTTCTCTTTTCTTTCGTTTTGCGTCTGTCCTCTCTCTCTGCTCTATTTTATCTTGCTGTGGTGTTGCTGCTGGAGGGTAGTGGCTACTAAGAGGCGGACTTTGGGTTGTTAAACCAAGAGCCGGAAATCAGCTTTTTAATGGGTAATTGGGCATCGAAATTGATCGTGGCAGGATGGTATTTGTGGGAACACTTTGCTTTTGGTGTTAATTGATTGTGTTTGGAGAATAAAACTTTTAGGTGATAATGAATACTAAACTGGGTTTGGGATATAAATCACCTAGTATATTTAGAAGACTCAGAGTCGGGTGGAATTGTTATAAATATTGTAATCATAATAGGATTGAGGATTTTGAACTTAAGGTCATGCAGGTGTCGGCGTACCCCTGATGGTATCCAGGGTTAAAGCGTATGTACGGGAGTCCGTGACCTGCCTCAGCACCTTCGTGGTAGGGGCTCCAACCCGCCCAATTGGACACCTTCCATTGGGTTTACTGTTAGCCTTGGTTTGCTAAGCCTCATGTTTTGATGTTAACAAACAATATAAGAGCTTAACGTTTGTTTAAGTGTTTCAGGTACAACAATAATCCATTAAGATTCGGTACTCAAGAATGAAGTCGAAACACTAAACTAGCGTAGAATATAGGTAGAAACCAATGTAAGGATATGATTTTATATACCTATACTCACAAGCTCAAAAACACTCACAAAATATGTTTAAAACCCTTTTATAATGATTTTCAAACATCTAAAAGGTTTTAAATAAAATTAGAAACGATTTGGACAAAAATGAAAAAATTGTCTAAATGGTCATAAGGTACCTAGGTACCGTAAGCACGGGACCCCCCTACCGTAAGGGGTACCGTAAGAGGATAGGTACCGCCAGAGAGTTTTGGCCTGAGAAGGTACCTAGCTACCGTAAGAACGGGACCCCCTACCGACTGGATGGGACCCCCCTACCGTTACCGTTGGAACACTATTCCTGATTGCTGATTTTTGAATTAATTCAACCCTAATCACCTCCTAACGGCTAATTAACATCTTCCACTATAAATATAGGCCTAATACTTCATATTTGAACAAGAAACAAAGCTCTAAACATCCTCTCTTTTTATTCTAAGTTTGTTCATCCTTTTATTAATTATTTTCAATATTTTGGCTATTTTAAGAGCCTTAAGATCCTGATTTTATTACACACACTTTGAGCTTGTGTTTTTAGTTATATACTCTCATATTCATAAGTTTATATTGTATTTTTGAGAGAGTATAATTTAGTTCTACACCGGCTAAGTTTTTGTTCTTCATTTTTATATTCAAGCCGTTGTGTAGAACCTTTGTTCGTGTTCTTCAAAACACACCTTCTTACGGTCGAGAATAGCCGTTAAATTCTCACATTGTAACGGTTAAGGATAGCCGTATAAATCCTTGGGTAAAGGTTCAGGGATAGGCTTTGAAATCCTTGGTGGAGCGGTAGAAGATAGCCGTTAAATCTTCATTGTAAACGGTTCGAGATAGCCGTAGTGAAATCTCGGAGTGAATCCTATTGGCAAGGGTTGTTTGCCAAACTAGTGTGGTGTTTTGACGGAGTTCAAGAGGCCGGAACTTAGTGGATTCGGAAATCCTTGAGGAGGAGCCTCGAGGTACTAGAGTAGGGAGTTCCCGAACTAGTATAAAATCGGTGTGTCTTTTACTTAACGATTTTATTCTGCGTTTTACTACAAGAATGTTTGACGATGTTGTTTTAAAGGCTTCCGCAACGTTTGAATCATTACTCCGATTAATTATGAATTGTTTTTAAATAAATGTAAATTGATATTTTATTATTAAATGTTTTAAAATATTATGCATGTGAATACCAAATTAGTAGCAACCTGATTCGCTAACTCGTTGGTTCGAGTTACGCGGGTTGGGGTGTTACATCAGTAATCTCCATATTAGACTCCACATTTATTCTCTCTCATACCTACGTGTAGAAAGACAAAAAAGTCTACACGCTCAGCAATGAAGCTGAGTGGTACTATGACACAACAAAAGAATTCACAGAATAATTTCTTAAACAATACCAATCACATATATATGTTCAAATATTTGCTTTTTCATATTTAAATCCGTCTTTGTTATTTTAACAATGATAATGAATATAATCAATCTTAACTATCATCATTCAAACTTATATAGGAACCACTTCATAGTTCACAATAATCACATGTAATTTTTGTTATCATATTATTCATCATTTGTCACACATAATTTTATATCATGTTTTATCACAAATAATTGTTTTTAACTTACTCTAAGCTAATTCCAAATCATAACAATGCTCTTAAACTATTCTTAGTCTAAGGTCAAATTCATATCGATAACATAGCTCTTAAACTATAACTAGTCTAAGGCAATATTTCTAATCGGGCTCTTAAACTATAAATAGTTTAAGGCAGAACACAAGAGTCGATAATCCACCCTATGAATCATGTGAATTACGTACCAACCGAACATTGAACTGTCGAGCGGGTGATATCTGGTCTGGATCCCGTACGTACGTTTTAACCCCGAATTATGAATTGGTCAAGGAGGTATATCTTAGAGTTCTTCTAGATATCCTTAATAATCATCATCAATTTCCAAGTGGGTATATCTTAGAGTTCTTCTAGATATCCTTAACAATACACATCATTTTCATAATCATCAATTAATTCATTTTTAATCATGATTCAATCATTCATAATTATTATTTTAATAAGAATATTCATCAAAGTCTGATCATAAACAAAATCAATAATAATCATCATAATATCCAATAACAAATAGCGGCCTAGCATCGAGTGTTAACACCCTAGCTTATCGTCATACATCATATAAGGTTCTTTAGTTGTCTAAACATCATTTTTTACTCTAAGAAATTGTCTTTATATTGATGTTAAAATAGGATTTTATATCTTCAAAAATAGCATTTTTGGACTTAAAATATTCGTAATGGTTGACCGTTGGATCCGCACG